CTTTGTCCATGGTTTCACATTTTATTTTTTCTAGAAACATAATTCAAATAATGTATTATATATGATAATTGTAAAATGACATATTATGATATACAGTGGAACTTTTCTTAACGAGCAAAATGAATTGTAAGAAAAATGACTCGCTTAATGAGCGACGTTTCGCATAACGAGTGACGATGAGAAGTCCCAGATTGCGCGCCTGCTACATTTTTAAAACTTGTGTACTCATATTATGTGTATTTTTGAATATGTTTCACTATACGAGTAAAAATCCGGAAATTTTGGAACGGATTAAACTCGTTCCACTATAATTTTAATAATATTCAATATAATGTAGATTATAACAGTCACAAATAATGAATTGACAAATTTGAACCAAATAGTTGTAAAGTCACAAACTATTTTTTGAGGCAATAGAAGAAGTTTGGATATAATTGCATTCAATATGGTTATTGGAATTGCGGCGAAACAAAAAAAAACGATTATCCCATATCATAATGTAGATAAACCTTACAGCTAAATATTATTAAAATGATATAAAAAAAATATTTATAAATATCATTTTAAATTCTTAAAATCTAAATAAAGTACAAAAGAAAAGAATGCAATACTTTTAGAGTACGGTTCATGAAAAGCAGTACAAAACTCCCCAAAGTAGAACGGTTGGTCACTTTAATTAAAGTAAGGTAAATGGGCTAAATTTATCGCCTATCTACCTTGACTGACAACATATAAACATACCTGAACTTGGATAATAGGCATAATTCTATTGTAATACTGGATGTTCCATATTTTTCGGTCCATAAAACTCAACTTTATTACAAGAAAAAATACAGTCGTTTCTTTTTATGCGGTTTTAAAGTCTGAAACCTATTTTCCGCACTATGTGAGGTATTTTTGTATATATTTTTCGTATTTACAATTATTATGTTAATCCGTAGAATAAGTAGCATGGACATAATAAACTTTAACTATAATGATAAAAGTTTCTACGAAATTGATTCATCAATCAGAACTTTTAAAACTGTTTGATGATGATTTACTATCAGTGCTTCAGTAAGCGAAATGTAACATTGATATTCTTTGGAGATTCGTGATATGAAATATTATTAAGTAAACGACTATATTTAATATGAAGATCTAAGGACTTTAACCTTTGCAAGCATGTATGGGCAATAAAGAGTAAAAAAATACTATTTACAGGATTTCAGAAAAATCTGCCGCTAATAAATATAAATTATTTTCGGAAGTGGAATAAAAAAAAGGGGCGACCTAAAAATAAGTGTTGAAATTTATATTTTTGGGGTCAAAATTAAAAAGTAAATAAAATAAAAATCAAACAGGAAATCGCCGCAAGACCGCTTCTCTCTCTCTATCTTTCACATACAAACATACGTGCACTGTCAACTTTGGTATTTTCGTAACTTGGGTTTATTTTCGAAGATCCCATAAATCCGTTTCAACCACCACAAAAATTAAAAATAAAATTCCGGTGAGAGATTGGAAACAAAAAACATAATGATAAAAGAAAAACATAAACATAAAATGTTAATGCGGCGCTATGACCACGCATAGTCAACAATCTTCAACAGTTATCTGGATTTAAAGAATAAATATTTGGTTTATGTGTTTGTAAACAAAAAAAATAATATTATTCTAGTGATAATGCGCTCGCATTATGAATTTTTAATTAGTAGGAATTTCTAATATTTAAGTTCTGATAAGCTAGAGGATTACCAGAGTCTATGTAGGCTACCCGGTAGGCTATGGTGTATGTTTTGCCTAACCTACCTTAAGACGACTTAGCGTATTGTTCTGTAATGTTTTCGGTCTATTTTGGGCGTAATTAAAAGATGATTTAAAATAAATCTCCGGTCGGGTGGAAGCTTCAGATCCCACGCATTCGTTTATTTAGATTTTTAACTTTTAATAGAAAACACCCACTGCGACCGTAATTGTAGTAGACTGCGTCACTTCTCCCACTAGGTTTCATTTGCATAAAATAACAGGCCCTTATTTATTTAATAATCAATTACATAATTCGCGCTAACGAAACATGTCGATAACAAACGTGCATTTAATTATATAGATTTAATTAACTTCTTTTTTTTTAATTGCATTAACCCGCAATTTACACATTGGCTCTATACTTTGACATCGTTATTGTTTATATAGATAAATAAAAGGTTATGAATTTTCAGTCTTGATAACAACTTTTGTTTGATTTCAAATAAATAACTATTTTTCATTCCTCATTCCTGTGAATCTCAAAATCATTTAAAAAAATAAATTTGCTAAATACAAATACATTTGTTAAATCCCGACAGTATCAAAATCCTGACTGTATCAAAATACCGACTATATCAAAATCCTGACTATATTAAAAAATCTATGTATTATGTATTTGTTTATACAATAAGACGTATAGACTAAGAGACTACGCAAATAATTGTTTGTTATTTTTGGAACTAAAGTATAGCAAAACTATAATTAAGGTTCCCGGACAGAGTTTCCATCCGCAACAGAGTATATGTCAACTAGGTAAGTGAGATGTCCACCGTACAATAAGCGTAAATAACTTACCTGTCTCCGCATAAATAAAGTAAAGCAATATTTTATCTATTTATTGGTTTTACTTTTGTAATTTTATGTTTGTTGCAATAAATATTCCTATTATTATATTGTTAAATAATTTATGTGTATTTTTTTATACGATTTTAGGATTAAGTTACTATTAAAACGATTTAAATTGTCAATAATCCTTAAAATATATTATATTATTAAATATTTATAGTTTTTTTTTATACAAAATTACAATTATATTAAATTCACATTTACTATTATTTAGTTTCGTTTTGACAGTTCTTAGAAGAAGTTAATTTGATAATAACCAAAATTTGAGCAAAAAAAATCATTAATTTTAATTCAATATTTGAAAAACATATAATTAAATTGTTCTAAAATGAATAAAACTGTGTTTCGGAAAACTTGGAAGAAATTATAATTTAGTATTACAAGAATCGTAGTACACTTGTAATCTTGTTTGCCAGTCTGTACTAGTAATCACGAGAAGAGCTGTCTGTATGGCATTTGGTTTATATGTGATTTATGAGTTGGTCTGAAATAATTAGGATTGAATCCATTGAGGCTGATGGAGAATAGTCGAGGAGGTCCAATAGGACATGCAGACCACGTATGGGTTTAAAATGTCACGTGTGGAGGCCGACAAAGACGATCGTCCGTTTCGCCGCAAAAAACCTAAAGACATGCGCTGTTTTATTGCTTGTTCAATCCGCTGCTTTATTTATATATTTCGCTCTTTAACTTTCAAAAAGAAAAGGCATAGGAAAAAAATCTAAAAGAAAACAAACAAAAACGAAAACGGGATGAAGCAAAAAAAAACAACGGTGGCCTCTTGACTTATTTGGAGTAAATAATTACGCCGGTTCTGGGCAATTATTCGTATATTCTTTAACGCGCCTTCTTCAACTTCTTCGTCTCCTCGTTTTCTATATAAATTACCTACTCGAAGACGCATTCTTTATTAACTGCTAATATCCATAAAAAGTTTCCCACATTATTTCCCATTTGCACTTACTTCGCCACTAGGCATCATATTACTAAACGCGTTTCCACCTGAAATTTAAGTTCCGTAATCAACTTACTTAGCACCAGGAAAATAAAATATCAAAAAAAAAGAAAACCACCCGTCGTCCACGATATCTTTTTTGTATCGTAAAAGATGCATTTATGTTATTATAAATATCACGTTTTCGTTTAAAAGATGTATTATAAAAATTAATTTTTGTCTTAATAGATTTTGGATTAGAAACCGATTATCTGAAGTGGATATAATGGGTCTTCCTTAGGGTCAGTCCTATTTAATTAAAGGTTTTCTACAGAAGCCCCTAGTCAGACCCAAAAATGATTATAACACACTAACCTAAAATTAAAATCTTCTTAATAAAAATGTAAAGTACAATATATTTTTATTTTACTCTCATTGTTTACTATTATTAAAATATAAAATGCATAATAACTTATTTCTTAAATTTTTATATCATTTCGTTCAGTTCGAAATTCTATTTGTTTGTTCGAGCAAAATACTAATAAATTCTAAAAAATAATAATTAATATAATTTATGGTGGGTCTATTGACAGCAGTCTTTCCGCTTCTAAAAAAAATAGTACACATTTTTTTTATACATAAATATGTTTTTTTTTTCATTATACCGTATGTATGTTTAATATCTCAATTAGTCCTGTTTCAAATAATCCATTATTTTGGCGGAACCTATTATCCGGACTATGCGAGGTATTGCTATATTAATTACCATGTGCATAAAAAATATTAAAATAATTTACAATATTAATGTCAGAAATCCTATAAGTTTATTAAGTAACAAGCATAATATCTTAAAACATGTTTATGTTATCATATATAATTATTGATGTATTAATATGATATTACATAATTAATTCAACGCTTCAATTCAAATAAAAATAAATATAATGATTACTACAAGAAGTATAGGCAGCCAACCATTCACGAATAGTCTTTCCTGTAGTAGCTTCATGTAAATACTGTAGTTATTTTTTCTATAACATAAAATTTCAAGACCTTATGCATTCTTTATATGTATTCGCATATTCATGATTATATAAATATTTTAAAAAATACATTTGACAGTTAGCGAACTAATCAGGCATGTTGTAAAATGTATTTATATAAAAAGATGTATAAATAAAAACTTTGATTTCAATTAAGGACAGGAAAATCTTGTTTTTTTATTGTGTATAATTATTCAATTTGTTCCTCAAGTTTTCTTTTGCTTGAATATTAAGAAAGTATTTCATTATTATTGTATAATTCAATTGTTTTAATTAAATGTAAGAAAGTTAAACCGCTTTATTCAAAAATAAATATAATTTGCAAATAAGAAATATTTTAAATTAATCCATAAACAATTTTATATTCAAGAGGAAATAAATAAATATAATTTCGTAATTCTTAGGTTTATTAAAACAGTACATTACAAGTAGTATTTTATATATAATACTTTTATGTAGTTATTAATATAAAATATAATTAGTAAACTTAACATTTTATCATTATTTTTTTCTGGGTTACAAAAAAATATTAAATAAATTTATATTAACATTTTTCCAGGTTCCATAATACAAACTTAAATATGTGTACATTAACATATTTACTTCTTGTAAACATAACTTTCAGCGCCTCCTCTTCCAAAACCTATAAGTAAAAATCCATTATTAGTATTTCAACAAGAGTGACGTTATTCCATACGACTGGTTTTAATAATTTTTACTAACGTTTTATGTAATTAGAAACTTTACTTACCGCCTGGTCCAAAAAGTGCTGAATAGCATGGGTTCGAGCAATATGGTTTACCTTCGTGCTCAGCATGGGATCCCGGGGCAAGGGTTTTATTGCACTTTTCGCATCTTAGACATCCTGGATGCCAGTCCTTGCCCAGAGATTGCTTACGCTCAGCTGCAAAGCAATATAAATTATTCAATAATAATAAATGCGGATAGTGGAGTGGAGACTCACACAGAGCCAAGAATAAAAAAAATAGGCTTTATTTGTAAAATTCTAATCTTTCTAGTAGTAGGCCATTAGTAAATTGCCCTCTAATTATCTACTCGCTCCTTTTTTCCTCTCCCTACTTTTTCTAAAGAGGCTACGTGCAACTTGAAGGGAACTCAAACAAAAGGGCGCATTCTCATTTCGCCTCGCTTGAAGAGTAGAACAAAAAAGCATGCATTACATAATTAATTCGATACATGTGTGTGTACATTGAAAGTTTAAAGTTCATTACTTCTTTCTCATACTCGCGTCTTGTTTTGATGATAACATTGGAATCAAAGTTCTGAGACTGTTTTTTTTATGTCTTTCTTTCTCCCGCTTTGCCTCAAATTTTCATAACGGCCAGAAAATGCGGTGCGCTGCACTTTCGGAAAACGTTAATCTTGACCTGAAATGCCTTAAAAGGTAAAACCGATGCGCGCCTGACGCTTAAAAAAAATGAAATTACTGTTGTTTCCTACGTGGCATACTACCTATCTATTCGACTCTACTATGCATATTATAATAATTATTTATTATAATATATTCATTAAAATGGGGCGGAAATACCTAATATAAACAAACAATAAGTATTGCTTTTAGAAAATTTCAAGAAATAAGAAGAAACCTTACTCATCCTCGCACTGACTTAATTTTTTTTTTAGAAAGGAAAGCTCTATGGCATTTGAATTTTTTTATATATATGAAACCATGTTTGGTGACTGTATATGAAACGTATGATTCATACAAATTAAAATTAATTTAAATAATAAATAAAACAGAAAACATTACGTTCTCTGCGGTCCATCATTCAATTGACGATGACATCATTTTTATTCACACGAAACAATTACTAATAGATTAAGTAATCTATATATATATACAGTGAAGATTCTATGAGTAAATATTGCATTTAACATTATTCATACAAACAAACCTTGAAAATTGAGTTTTGTAACTGTTAAAATACAATAAATATTTATTCTCTCAAATTTCACATCCAATTATAAAACATACGTATTATGATTATTGTTATCAAGTGAATATAGATAGCAATAAAATAATGAGTTTTGATAAATAATCTTATTTTATATAATTACAATTACAAATACAACTTAAATTTTATATTATTATGTATACAATAAATGCTAATTTACTTATGTTATTATTTTAAATTTAGTACTTATTTCTAAATAATAATAATAACATGATTTAATTTAACAGAATTATTATGTTTATTCGGTAATTTTATTTTCTTATTTGTATTCTTTATTTCTGTAACTTTTGATTATTTTTTGCTGGCCAATAAATTATAATAATTATTTATTTAAATTACATAAATATTTACCGAAAAAAAGGCGTGTTTTCCTATTAATCAAATATTTATAATTATAAGTATTAATGATCATAATAAATCCAATGTTACAATATATAATGTCTTACTAACAATAAACGTAATAATCACTAATAGATTACTATGACGTAATATAAGTAATGCGCTTGTTTAGGCGCAAAGGAGGTAAACATGTACATTGTTAATATTAAATAAATGTACACTCACCAAAGTACACAGGTTTTTCGCATTTTGGACAGTTCGGCATTTTTTTGGCTGGCTCGTTCGTAGTTCAACCGATATTGAATTAAGAAGTTTAAAGCAGGTGACTGAATGAAATAGAGACGGCGACTAAAGTTTTGCTGAGGTCGGAGTTGTTTGAGTTTGTTGAAGGCGGGTGAGAGGATAGAGGATTTTTAAACTGCACACGACACTATTGGAAAGTGTATGTGCTTCACATATCAATCACACCATTGTACGCATACGAATGACGTGAAAAATGCTGCATGCTTATATTGATAATAAATAAGTGCTTACATTTTGCAGTGGGTTAAGCCTGGATCAGGCTGTACAATATTTTATCGAGTCTCCTCGTATCGATAACAAACTCATATATACTCAATACCTATATCAATATATTTATTTGTACATACTTTAGCAATTACGTAATATAGTGAAACTAACATTTTCTATGTTGATTTTATTGAATAATTGATATCAAGAAAGGTCGTTCTATTAATATAAAGTTTGCCTTGAGATAAACCAATGTTTTGATTTGGGACGCCGCGGAAAAATTCTGATAAAGTTTGGGAACCACTGTATTAAAGAATTAATTATACCAAGACTGGCTCGCGAGCCGCATGCGGCTCTTCAAGAGTTTTGTTGTGGCTCAAATGATAAATAAAATATTATATACATTATACAACTGTAGGTCCGGCTCCCAATTTTTTATATATTAGAAAATTTCTCATATTTTATCTTTATTGTTTTATCTGTCTTATATATATAATGACTGTTGCAATTTTATTGGACATGTTTCAGATCCAATAGAACCACTTAAAAAGGAATTAAGATTTTTATGTGATAAAAACAAAACTGATAATTTATAAATACATTTTTTCTTAGTAATATTTTGTTTTCTCGGATTAGTTAAATATTCCAATTATTACAACTTTAAATTATTTTTTTTACATTTACAAATTAACGAGATAAAAGTGATACAGAAAATAGAAATTTTAAACATGCTATAGTGAATAATTCTATATAATGCCTAGGTAATAGGTAGAATAACGAAAACTATTAGGCATTGTGAATAATCATTTAAATTTAGTACATTATTTAATAAGTAAGTGATATATGGTGGAAAATTGAATAAACTCTTAAACATAAATGCTAAACAGGTCTTTCGTCGTTGAAGAAAATGTTATCTATGTCTTATCATTCATTATGTGTTTAATGAATGGCTAATTTAAATAAACTGAATATGTGAAAACATATATTAAGGTAGGTTTGTAGAATGGTCTTAGTTTATAGCATTTTGATCTACATCTGTTAAAATAATAATATATACGGTCATTATTTTTATATACTTTATCAAATTCACAAATAAACTTATAATTATATTGAAATAATAAATACAAAAGAAGCAGATTTTTATAGTTTATTTAGTTTTGTTTTTAAACATTGGAATGGTATCAGATGTATTAATTACACGGTCTGCAAGGTCTACAGCATTTTTTTCCTTTCTTACTGCCACTTGCATCAGATCTGCTTGACTCCAAATGTTGTATATTTTCTTCTTTGCTATTGCCTACGTTAGCATCTCCCCCGGCATTTAAGTCGTGATCATTGACTTCGTTCACGACGGACGGTTTTTCTTTTAAAGATTCGGGGATCTTCCACACGAAAATTTCGCCGGCTCCCCCAGTTGTTATCACATAATTACAATCGGGACTAATACAAACTGCCGTTATTACAGAGCAATGCCCCAATCCTATATGCGTGGTTATTCCTTCTTGATATTTCCACATCTTTACAATTTGATCATTTGCACCCGTTACGAAAAATTGACCGTCTGCAGATATATCCAAGGAATTTATGGATCCCGAAGTGGAGCCCTCTATTTCTCTGACTAGACTTCCATCTAATACTTCCCAATAACATAGTTTCCTATCGGAACCACCAGTCAAAATTTGCACGCTGGACGGATAATAGTGAACCGTCATAAAGAGAGTGTTCTCAAAAAGTATTTGCTTTCGAATTTGTCGTAGAATATCCCAAATTATGCACGTGCCATCAGTGCTTGCACTTACAGCTTCATCATCGGTTCGGTTTATATGAATCGCAGACACCGGACCGGTGTGCTCCTTTAACGTACAAACCAAATTTTGGCTTGTAGGCTTAATATCCCAAATACGTACTTGGCCTTCGCACCCACCGCTTATTATAAATTTACCATTATGGGATATATCCATGGCCGAAACTCCTTTATTATGGGCGTTCAGAATTGCGTAAATCAATCTTCCTGTGAGCGGAGTAAATGCTCTGATCACACCATCATTCCACGCCGTCAAGATGGAACGTCCGTCATGAGCAAATACCACTTTTGAACAGCTAAAATTTGGAACCATTATCCTTAATAACTCGTCCATTGTTTTCATACTCCATAAGCGTACGCTATCTTTACTCGCAGTAGCAAAAATGTCAGAGAATTTACTGAAATCCAAAATGATAGTAACTAAACAGGATTATAGTAATTTTTAAAGCTTACTAAGGGAATGCCGTATCGAAGATTGTTGAAGTGTGACAGGTAATGATAAGTTTAGTCTCGAATGTTTTCATATCAATGGAGAACACCTCACAATTCAATGTACCTGCTAAAATACAAGTTCCTTTGTCTTTTAACACCAATGTTGTGACGGCGTGCTTAACATTTGTTGTTTTTATCTGTGAAATCGACAAATTATAAAATACATATTAATATGGAACCTATAAGTCAGCAAACAATATTTACCAGGTAACTTTTAAAGGTAATAAAAAATATACGAGAAGCGCTAATCAGGTATTTGATAAATATATACAAATATAATAATCAATACTTTAAAGTGTTGATTTTTCTGTATTTTCTCTTGTTATATATTGACGTTAAAAACGCCAATTCGTATTCTAATGCAAATAATAAGGTTTGCTTACCACTTTCAAAGCTGGATTCGAAGGTAATTTAAATGCTATACTTGTGATTCTTTTATCAATCTTTGGAGGTTCTTCTAAAACTACATCGATTGTTCCGTCACCGGCACCGATGATGATCTCTCCTGTGTTCATTAATATAATCGAACGGATTCCTGTAATATCAGTAGAATTATATATTAAAAAAGGTTAAATATTCAACAGGTGAACATTTAGAACTTGAAGGAATGAGTTTCACAGTTATTTTATAATTTATCTTATAGTTTTCGTGATAATTATGAGATTGCTTATTTATTAATTTTGTATCTAATATTAACAGTTTTTTTTATAATGCTATTAATTGAATTAGGAAGGATGCATACCCATGCTATATAATTCAACAGTTCCAGGCTGTAATTTCTTCTTGCTGATTTTTGTAAAGCATCCAACCATCATCGGCCTTTTGACAGGCTCCAAGATCTCCACGTCGTGATGGAAATTCAGTCTCAATTTCAGCATGTCGCCCGTACTTGTTCCGCACAAACAAATCTCGTCCCTATCATTGACGTCCATGCAAAGGACCTTCCTTTTCAATTTCGAGAGGCTCACATCGATCCCGATGACGCTCCTTGCTTCCGCATCAATTTTCCAAACCATCAGGTTTCCCTCGCCGGCGGTCATAAAACAAGGTCCTCGACAGTTCATAGTGTACAGGACAGTTGCATCCCCCTGCGATCCTTTGGTGGCCTCTGCCCCGCAGATTAATTTGTTCTTATTAATATCCCAAACAACGACCGAACCACAATCCCTTCCACCAAGTGACAACAAATACTCATCTCGTCTAGAAAAAGCTACCGCTTCAACTCGAACCTTATGCCCTTCGTGTTTAATCAAAGCCACGTGTTTATAGAAATCCCATAATATGACTGATGCCTGAAACCACATAATTATCCCATTGACATACGAATAAAATATAAGTTATGTAACCAAAAAAAAGTAAGATGATTTTGTACAGTTTCTTTAGCATTGAATTGTTTTATTAGTAAATAATACAAGAAATACTAAAGACATTATTTGCTTCATATCTATTGGATAGAGGACATAAAAAATGTTTAATTTTACTCTATTTTTTTTAGAAAACTAATGCGTTAATCGTAAGATTCTTCCATACTTTCTGACGAATTTGTTTTATCACTTGTGGATAAAGGTTTTACTCGTTTACGAGCAATGTTTTTAATATAACTTCAGAACTTTCACTTTAACTACTGGCTACATTTTCGTTAAAAGAATATTATTTTTCTTAACAATTTTACTAGTTATTGTTTTTACCACATAATACATTATAAATTCTAAAATAAATTTTAGACGTCTGTGACACATTGTACGTCAAGGTGTCAATATTGTAAAATACATAATTTAAAATCGTCTTACTTTGAATCCTATGTGATTGATTTGCCCGGATGCAACATATTTCCCACTTCTCGAAACATCTATAGCTGATATCGTGTTCGTGTGACCGGCGAGGAAAAATTGCTCATTGGTATTAGTATTCTTTATCGTCACTTTATTGCCCATCGGATAAATTAAATGAATTCCATCCGGATGTATCTGAAGACCCCTTATAGTATTTCCTGATAAAGGAATTTAATTAAAAATAGTATATTAATAAGAAACAAGGAATTCCAAAACTAAGAACTTGCCATCGAATCCGACACTAGCGTGCAACTGCAGCAATGATACGGATCCATCTAGTTCTGCAGGGCACTCAGCTTCCATAACTGCAGTATTATGTATATAAAATTGCAATAAATATGTACAAAAATTGTATTAGCTGAAATGACGACTCCAAAAACTTGTTTAAAAATGGCGCATAGCAACCATGGTAACAAGAACCATCGTACCGCTTTGTGAATGATTACGACATATCATTATTTACAAGAAGTGTTATTCACCATAATTTAAATATTGTCAATATTTTTGATCCTGTGTGCACAATGTGCATATATGTTAGCTTATGTACTTCCAGCATTCTATATATTGCCTAGGCAGAGTTGAATTTTGACCAATCTACTTTTATATGTGTACACTTATTCAGTTTTTTAATTTTAACCATCCAATGAACACACTATGAATAACAGGATTAATCATTATTCAACAGGGAATTTGCATTTATGTTTTTGTTTTTTTTTCAGTTTCCCTCTATATATAACTTCGTGGAAAGAGTTTTCTGCATGAAACAAAATACATAATTAAACTAATTATACACTTGCTTATAACACATATATTTAAATTATACTTTAATTATATATACATAATTTATGAAGACATGGCTTAATATTAATTCAAAACAATGGCGTAAGTGTGTAACAAATAATAGTAATAAACATATATAGAAATAATATTCATGATAATATCTATAGTTTTAATAGATATTTCTATATATATATGTACATTTTATTTAATTAAGTCTTTTTAATGTTCTGTATTTTTAATTAAATATTTTTGTTTATGCTAACTAGGGCACACAAATAGGTACTTATCAACATTTGTTTATACTTTGATTTTATAATTTAATTACTGTTATTAAAATAGAATAACCACAATAGCAATAGAAAATATAATATAAATCTTACAAAGATACGTTTATACCAGTTGATACGAGTATTATATATTAGATATAGGCAATTGTATTTACTGAAGTGCCTTGTCCCAAAACACATTTAAAATTGAGGTTATCTCTTGATTGTTTATAGTACATTCGAAATGGCTCTTTGCGAAGCGGAAAAAACATTTATTTTACATAGTGTCGAAGTAAGTATTAATAATTATTTAATCATTCATTATTTTAATTATTTTATTCATGGTTTTAAGGAAAATTTTCGAATTGATGGCAGGCAAAGAGGTGATTATCGTCCAATGGAATTGGAAACAAACATTGTTGCTCCATCATTTGGTTCTGCAAGACTTCGATTAGCAAATACTGATGTACTGGTTTCAGTCAAATTAGAAATTGATTCACCAACATTAGAGCAACCAAAATTAGGAAAAATTGAATTTTTTGTTGATTGGTATGTAGATTATTTTCCATTCCTTACTATATTTATTGAAATTCTATTTCAGTTCAGCTAATGCTACACCAGACTTTGAAGGAAGAGGTGGAGATAATTTAGCAACTGAGATATCAAATTGTTTATCATCTGCATATAAATCAAGTACAGCTTTTGATGCTGGAAAATTGTGTATTCTGAAAGGATCAAAATGCTGGAAACTGTATGTTGATATATTATTATTAGAATGTGGAGGAAACTTATATGATGCAGTTTCTTTGGCAGTAAAAGCTGCATTATGGGATACAAGAATCCCATTAGTAAAGTCTGTTGTTGTTGATGGCAACAAAGTAGATATGGAAGTATCGGATGAATTATTTGATTGTGAAAGGTTGGATGTAACTGGCGCTCCAATAATGGTAATTTTAAGAACTTTATTTGAAATATATAAAAATGCTCATTTTAGGTTACAGTTTGTAAAATTGGTGACCAATGTATTGTTGATCCAACGACTGCTGAAGAACATTGTTCTGGAGGTTCTGTTGTGGTGGCAGTTTCTAAATCAAATTTCAGCACTATATTGCAAACAGGAGGAGGATCCTTGCATCCAATGACACTATTAGAAAGTTTAAAATTGGGTCAAACAGTGGCTCAAAGATTAGATTCTACCTTAATAAACACATTGAAGCAAATAAATGATAATTCTACAGATGTTGGCTTCTTAAAATAAAATTATACAAAAGCCTATTTTTTACAATAAATAAATTTTAATTAATTTCTTCCTATAACAGCCCATCTATCACCTTGCGCAATTCTTGCAGTTCCTCTTCTCTGTGCTTGTTCAAGTTGTTGTTCCACAGCTTCAAGTATTGAGTGTATTGTTCAAATCTAATTTTGAGAAACTGGTCTAAAGTCAATGCAAACTCTGGCTGCTTCATGCTTGCAAATGTACAATTCTTTGAATGTTTATAATGCTCATCCCACGGATCATCCTGCGCTTCCCACCCATCCAAAGTTTTATTGCACAGAAAACATTTCACAACATCTGGTTCATCTTTTTGACCAATAAAGTAGAAGCCAGCTTCTGCCATCTATAAATATTTGTTACTGTACTTTATGTAATAAAGAATATTTTTAAAATTACTACCTTTGCTGCATTACATACTTCATCATCTTTAAAAATCCATTTTTTGAATGTTTTTAACCTTTCCTCTTCATAAAACATAGTCAGATGATATTTAAGATCAGCCGTCTAAAAAATAAAATATTATTATGATTCCAGAACAATATATAGTTAAAATACCATTATAAAGTCAACACTGGTCAACACTTTAATGAACAAATTAAACAAACTAAATAAAAAGTAAATGACGGTTACAATTGGTTACAATCGTTCACAATCAACTTTTCAAAAACCAATCTTGCAACTGTTGAAAACTGAAATGTCTCTAGGTTTGGGATTACCGTTAATTTTTCCCGCTCAATTTGTATCTTACTACTACCGCCGTCCGCCGTCTCTTTATTCTTTGGCAGCACTCGGGCACTTGGGTTTGGGGTTTGGGTTAAGTGGTTCGTTGATGTTTTTTTGGGCACCGGTATATGTCATCATTACCGGTGAAGTGTTAGCGGTTTTTTAATATTAATCTATTGTGCGGTTTACTATAGTATAGATTTTGAGTGCATTTAAGTACGGAAAATGGATTTTCCGTATAGAGCAGAATATGCTAAAAGCAGTAGAGCATCATGTCGTAGTTGTAAGTCTTCTATTCAGAAAGAAGCTCTAAGACTAGCTGCCATGGTTCAATCTTCAAAGTTTGATGGGAGAACACCACAATGGTATCACTTTGACAGCTTTTTTGGCAGTCAGAGACCTAAGATTGTTGATGATATTGAAAACTTTGAGGAAATACGATGGGAAGATCAGGAAAAAATTAAGGACAAAATCAGTATGTATAACCAATGTACAAATTAATTATATAATATAGGTTTATAATATTCTAGAAAATATGGGTTCAATTATTGTGCCAGCTGGTAAAGGTAAAAAACGGGCTGCTTCAGATAATGGTGCACTTAAAGATTTCACATTGGAATATTCCAAATCTAGCCGAGCCATGTGTAGAGGTTGTCAACAGAAAATAATGAAAGATGAAGTAAGTTTTCTGCAACTAAATAAACGTAATAAAAATAATGAATGTTCATTTATGTAGGTAAGAATCTCCAAAAAGGATTTTGAATCTGAAGCTGCAAAAAAATATAATGGTCAAGATATGTGGCATCACCTGACTTGCTTTGCAAAATTAAGGTCTGAACTTGGATATTTTGAATGTGGTGATAAATTGCCTGGTTTCAAATCAATGAAGAAGTCTGACCAAGATGAAGTTATCAAAGAAATTCCGTTAGTTACATTACAAATATTAATTTCTAAATCCATTCAATTATTTTATTTTAGAGCAATTAAACAGGAGAATGGATCAGACATTAAAAAAGTTAAAAAAGATGAGGAGGATCCACTGGACAAAGAGTTGATTAAGCAAAATAAGAAAATGTACATGTACAAGGATAACTTGAAGACATTGAAGAAATCTGAGTTGCAACTTTTATTAGAAGCAAATACTCAAGTTATACCACCTGGTGAAGCAGAGATATTGAATAGATTAGCAGATGTCATGACTTTTGGTACATTACGACCATGCCCTGATTGCAGAGAAGGTCAATTAGTTTTCAATAAAGATGGATATTATTGTCAAGGAGATGCAACAGAGTGGGCAAAATGTAATGGATTTGCTGAACGGCCAAATCGTGAGAAGTTCTTGGTGCCAGATAAATTGGCAGAAAAATATTCTTTTCTGCAGAAGTACAGTTCTTCTGTTAAGCATCGCATCTTTAAAAAAGTTACTCCTACAGCGAAAGTCGTTAAGAAAGATGATGAAGAAGATGATAAACCTAAAATTCAACGTGAAGTGCCACCCCTCTATGACATGCAGTTTATTCTTGAAGTAAAGAAAAATAAAGATGCGTTAAAAAAGGAAATCATGAATCTCGGCGGAAGTGTTGTAACTAAAATTAGTGAGAAAATAATGGCTGTTATTTCAACTTCAGATCAGGTAGAGAAAATGGGATCACGAATGAGTAGTATCAAAGATGCAGATATTCAAGTAGTATCTTCGGATTTCGTTAAAAAGGCCAAAGAATACAGAGGCCGTATTCCAGAATTAATTTTAAACAAAAGTATCTGTGATTGGGGATCAGATCCCACTGCAAGATTACCAGCAGAACCTTCTGTTAGTTATAAATCAAAATCTAAAAGTATGTATGCAAAATCTGGCCCTAGCACGGTTAAATTGAAGTTGAAAGGTGGTACTGCTGTTGATCCTGAATCTAAACTGGACCACAAATCGCATGTCTACCAAGATGGCAATGATAAATACACAGTTATATTAGGATTAACTGACATACAGAAAAATAAAAACAGTTACTATAAGTTGCAAGTTTTGGAAGCTGACAATCGAAATGAATATTGGCTGTTTAGGTCATGGGGTCGCACAGGAACAAACATTGGGGGTAATAAGGTTGAGCCACAGTCGTCATTGCATGATGCCATCCAAGCCTTTGAAACTTTATATGAAGAAAAGACTGGCAATGAATGGGAGTACAGACATGAGTTTACGAAGGTGCCAGGACGCATGTATCCAATTGAAGTGGATTACGACGATGAAGATAATAAATTGGATATAACAAATACAATAGAATCTAAATTACCAGGGCCTGTCCAGAAGTTGATGCAATTAATATTTAACGTAAAAATAATGAAAGATTTGATGTTGGAATTTGAATTGGATACCGATAAAATGCCTCTAGGTAAATTGAGTGTAAATCAAATGAAGAAAGCCTTTGACGTTTTATCGGAGCTGCAACAATTGATAGAGAACAAAGGTTCAAAGACGAAGTTAATAGATGCTTCAAACAGATTTTATACATATGTACCGCACTCGTTTGGTATCAAGGAATTACCTATCATTGAAAATGAGGAACAGATACGACAGAAAACCGAAATGATTGAGAATTTGATGGAGGTGGAATTTGCATATAATTTAATGAAGTCTTCTGGTTCTGGTATTGATGGCCATTATGCAGAATTGAATACAGAAATTGGCGTGCTAGCTCGTGATAGTAAAGAGTTTAAGACCATCGAGAAGTATGTTAAAAATACGCATGCTTCCACTCACAACACCTATGAATTAGAAATCATTGAAATATTTACGGTTAAGCGGAGCGGAGAAGAAAAAAGATTTAAGCCATTCAAGAAGATGCACAATAGGCAGCTCCTATGGCACGGTTCTCGAGTTACAAATTTTGCGGGTATCCTTAAACAAGGATTACGTATTGCTCCACCCAACGCACCAACTACCGGCTACATGTTCGGTAAAGGTATTTACTTTGCAGACATGGTTTCGAAGTCTGCGAACTATTGTTGTACTATGGCTAAGAATCCAACCGGTCTCTTATTGTTATGTGATGTAGCATTGGGAAATGTAAGTCATTTCGATACATATCATTTTTATTTTACATTATTAATCTTGTAATTATATTTTAGATGTACGAACGGTCGAAAGCCGATTATATCCAGAAATTACCGACGGGCAAACACAGTTGCAAGGGTGTTGGTAGTACTTATCCTGACGAAAAGGAGAAAATAAAACTTGGGGATGTTGATGTGCCCTTGGGTAAAGCTGTCAACGATACTAAGCTTAAGAGCGATTTGCTTTATAATGAATATATTGTATATGATATTGCTCAAGTAAATGTTAAGTACTTGCTGCAGTTGAATTTCAAATATAAATTTTAATTCTACTATTGCATATTTTAATCACATAAAAACTATACCATTTTGAATTATTTTTGTATAGTGTTACTATTATGTTTAAAATAGAATTATAAAAGTTATGTTGATATAGTTGTATTTTTTTTCTTTGAGTTTCTTGTTCTTAACGTTTTGTAGTTGCTTATTTATAAATACACGTTTCAATATTTTGGCTAACTTCTGTTTTTCTTAATTCCTTTTGTTTATTCAATTCCAATAGATAATCGAAATTACTTATATAATATTTCTAATAACTTGTGGTTTAGAAAAGAAAATACACATTTTTTTATGAAATAAAAAACTAGTTTTCATTAAACAATGTTTGTATACCTTTACTGTTTTTCTTTATATTTGGTAATTATCAGTTCTAATTTTATTACTAATTGCAAAATGTTAGGCGTCTGAATTATTTGAAATTTCTCATGAAACTGAAATTATAATTAGAAAAAATCGGATTAGGTTAAAGAAAACTAACAAATATAAACAAACCAATATAATTACAATAAAACAAAGTTTGATCCCAGGATTATAATACTATGAAAGCTTCTGTAAAGAGTGGTAATAGATTTCATTGTTATCTTCTTTTTTTAATAAAAGTACATTTATCGGAGAAGTTAGAAAAGCAAATACTCGTAATAAAAAAGTGAGTATAATTTTATTTGTTGATATGAGAGAATTTCAATAGCAGCTGATAAACAATCAATCAATTAACATACATAAATAATAAAACATTAAACAATTAACAACAATGCCGTTGAAATTTTGTCAGCATAAAATTCCTTTTTATTATTCCCAAAAAAGAATATAAAATAATAATAGAAATAACGCAAGAAATAAAGAACAAAATAAAAACAGAGTTTTAATTACAATGGACGGTCTTGATATAATCAATAAAAAATATAGAAACACATACACATATATTGCAAACATAATGAAAAACATAATCTAAATAATGTATATTAAATTAAATAAAATGATCAACGTTCTTAAGTTAATGGAATGTTCGTTTCCTTTCCTAATTCAAGCTGCCTTTCCATTCTTGTGGGTATCTTGTATATTGATTGATCATAAATTTCTAAATATATTTCTGTTTTTGTTGTATCTCAATGTTAATCTCTCTAGTAATAGTAATAATAAACATATATATTACACTCTATCTAGTTTATATATTTACATAATCTTACACATATATTGGAAGAATTTGGGTTTTGCTAAATTGAATCAATCAAGTGTGAAGTAAATTTTACTCTTTTTTAGTAGTGTATTTTATTTTTGTTTTTTTTAATGGCACTTTTCTCAATATCCGATTCAACTTCTACCTTGCGGTTTGTCGTGTGTACAAAAATACCTCTGATATAATGTTGATACTTCATATTTGAAGAGCCGAAGTTATCGATGATATCGACAATTGTGCACTTAAATTATAACAAGAAAATAGAATTCCCCAAATTACACGAACGAAACAAAATTTTGATACATCACCACAAACATTTCGAAAATAAGTCAATAACAATATCATATATTTATATAAAAACTAATCTTTTTTTTACATTCGTCGTCATTAAAACTAATAAATAATACAAAATATTCAATAAAACTTTTTCATTCGTATTAAACACAACATAGATATATAGAGAAAAAAAAGTAGAGTAAGGAATAGACAGAAGTAGTAGACATAGAGAGTGTGTAATCTCTGTTTCATTAATAATATTGTTTTATAATTAATAATAATAATAAATTCAATCACTTTTTAATATATGTTAGTACTAACCAGTATAAATAGCTTAATGATAGTTTAGGTTTATATCAGCAGTCTTCTTCCACTAATTTTTGAGTGTCCTTGCCAGTGTCAGCCGATGGATCCAGTTCGCGGTGTCTGATGTTGATCTGCGGTGATGACCTATGTATTACACTGGAGGGTGCAAGTATCGCACTCGGGGGTTCTGTAAACGTATCACTTTTCGATTTGGCTACATCAACAGGAACTTCATATAATGCTGAAAATATAAGAAATATAACATATAGTACTAAGATTCTATGCATAAATATATTAATAATGATTACCTGAACTTCCATTGCCAGTTGCATCGGGATTATTTTGGACAGCATCGTACATCGGATTATGGAAATCTCGATTCTTGTTATTAATTGGATCTAAACTGTAAGCCACATCCAAAGGTTCAACACCTCCGGTCCCGTTGCTGTTGAATGTGTTTGGTCCGAATTCAACGTTCGTGCCTTGCCGGAATGATACTGTTTGGCTACTGGATAAACTGCCCAAACCAGAGCCCTTTCCACTATAATAAAGTAATAATCATTAACATAAATATATTTAATATTCATGATGTGTGGGTACTTACAATGGCCTCTTCCTTAAGTAGAACCATACGCCGGTAGCCGCACCGATCACAAGTAAAATTACAAAGATAGGGATGAGAATGGTTGCGGTATTTGATCCACTCGGAGTTCTGCTGTGAGCAGTGTGAATTTCACAGAATTCGCCGAGGAAGTTCTCTTGACACTCGCAGACCAATTTGTCTTCTTTTTCTCTGCACAGGCCACCGTTTAGGCATGTACATATTTTGGGAAGCGACCTAGGTTTTTCGCTTCCGGCATCGCAGATGATTTCGGCTTTTCCGCGGTGAGGAATCAATGATGGCGAATCAGGACAAAGGCACCTGTAACCATTTGGAACGAGCAAACACAAGTGAGAACATTCAACAGAACCGCATGGATTCTTAATCGAGGTGTTGTAACGCAAATCATGATAAACTGAAAAAAAAAAAACAATAAATATTTAGATAAAAATCAATTTCGGTATTACTATACCTTTGACGCCTGACGGATTAACCAGATCGCGTTGTATGACGACTGCAACGCCTCTTCCAAATTTGTCTTGCCGCAAAAGTTCACCAGTGTCTTTTGCCACCCAGAATAAGCTGGATTCGAAGACGTCCAAGGAAATAGGGTGTTTCAAGTTTTCTCCTTTAATTATTGTCTTCCTGTTAGTTCCATCGTATTTCATAGTTTCAATTGTATTCAATTTAGTGTCTACCCAGTACAAGGTGTGATCCATCGTGTAATCGACAGCTAAACCGGTTGGATGTCTTATGTTTTCAGTAATTAATGGTCTTCGTTTGGAGCCATCCATCCAAGACACTTCAATCTTTGGAGCCGAGCCACCATCTGTCCAGAACATACGTCCCAATTGCGGATCGACGACCAGCGATGTTGGACTTTCCAAACCAACGTTTACTACAGATCTGCGATATCTGCCGTCAGTTTTGGCAACCAGCACCTTACCTTTAGGTTTAGAACCAGCTCGATCGATTTCCGTCCAGTATAAATTATCACCGATCCAATCAACGGCTACTGCAGTTGGTTTCGAATTACCTTTCATTTCTAAATCTTGAGCGAAACCAGTTTTCACTTGTCCATTCAAAGCATTAACCATGTACGATCGTTTTATTGTTTTGTCGTAGCTATCGGCCCAGAAGATAATCTTAGACAGTGGGTTATAATCTAAAGCTTCAATGCGCTTCTCTTCACTAATAACGTCGATTTCCTCCCTTTCTTTCAAAGTGTATGCTCTAATTTCTGGTCCATTTGCAAAAAGCAAGGTGATTTCATTCTCTTCAGCTTTGCAAACACCGGATTGCCCATCAGATAATTTGAAACCGTCGTGGCAGGCGCAACTGTAGGTTCCATTCAAATTAGTACAAAGTTGCGAGCAGTGGTGTGCACCGGTCGCGCATTCATCAACATCCAAACATTTCTTCGGATTCTCTTTGGAAATAATATAACCAGAATTGCAATTACAAATGTAACCACCGTCATTGGTGAGGTTCATACATGAATGTTCACATCCACCTCTATTGTTGAACGAACAAGTATTATTATGGTGGCAGCCTAATTCATCAGATCTGTCACCGCAGTCATCGGCAAAATCGCAGACTTGAATTCTATCTATACATTTCTTATTTGCACATTGGTATTGACTAAAGGAATTGCAAGGCTTTATTTTTGTAGCACACATCGTCATATTATTTTCATCGGAACCGTCACCACAATTGTCGATTCCGTCGCAAAGCTGGTATCGTGGTACGCATCTGTGGTTTGCGCATTGGAATCTTCTCAGTGCATCACAGTTAAAGTTTGTGCATAGAGCCGGAGTCTCATCGGATGCATCGCCACAATCATCAGCACCATCGCAAAGATCCGCTTGACTGATGCACAATCTATTGTCACACTGGAATCTAGACTCAGGGCAGTATCTGCCTCCTGGGTATCTTGGTGGGCAGTTCATCTCATCGGACATATCTCTGCAATCTCGGTCACCATCACACCTAAAGTACGATGCTATGCAATGACCAGAAGCGCATTGGAAGGTTCCGTTTTTGCATTGGAATCCGCTGCAACCGATCTCATCAGAGTTGTCACCGCAATCATCCTCGTGGTCACATCTCCAGCGTGTTGAAATACATTTTCCATTATTACAACGGAATTCAGATTCAGAACATTCCCTATAGTTTCCTTTGCAAAGGGCATCGGTTTCATCACTTCCATCCCCGCAATCATCAGCAAAATCGCAAGTCCACTGTTTAGGAACGCATCTGTTATTAGCGCATTTAAAGTCTGTCTCAACATTGCAAGATGGGCAGTTCTGAGCCAATTCATCGGATCCATCTCTGCAATCATCTTTACCATCACAGAAAAGCCATTTAGGAATGCATCTGTAATTGGATTTGCCTGGACAACGTTGCCATCCGGTTGTACAATTCTTCTGTCGGCACATGTATGCTGGTTCATCAGAATCATCTCCGCAGTCATTATCAAAATCGCACATCCACAATTTGGGAATGCATTTGCCATTTCTACATTGGAATTCTGTGTCCTTATCGCATTTCCTGTTGCTGCAAATTTGCGGATCTTCATCTGAACCATCTTTGCAATCGGCGTCGCCATCACATTTCCAACTATCCAATATACAACGGCCGTTCGTCTTGCATTTGAATTCCAATACAGGACAAGGCAAATTACAGTTCTGTTCATCGGATCCGTCTCCGCAATCATTAGTTCCGTCGCAAATTGTTGCTGATGGTGTACAATTTCCGTTCTTGCATTGGAAGGTGCCGGCGCGACATTGTCTTGGTGGGCAAGTTGATGGTTCGTCGGAGCCATCCTTACAGTCTTTTTCACCATCACATCTGTAAATTATATGGAGTTAATTTATGAAATAAAAATAGTTTGAAATTACTTACTGCCAGAACCATGGAATACACTTTTCATCGCTACCGCCGCATCTCCATTGCCCGGTTGTACAATTTGCAATGCAGGTTTTGTGATCTTCAGCTAGATAGAATTGATTTGGACATTCGCATTTATAACTAGTGGCACCTTCTTCACCGTATCCTTCAATATTCAAATAACTACTCTCTAATGGTGGAGCAACCAAACACAAATGCGAACAACCACCATTATTTGTCCCACAAGGATTAGTGTAGGGCAATTGCCTTAATTTGTGGTAAACGTGAAGATCGTACGGTCTATGAGTTGTCTGTCTGAGAACTGTCAGATCCTTTCCAGTAAACTTATTTGCACGTGAAATTGCCTTTAGATTCCAATCAGAGAAATAAATATAGTCATCAAATACGCTTAAAGCAAATACGTGCGGCACAGCATTTCCTGATAGAACAATATGCCTATGTCTTCCTTCCAAATCGGTAGATGCAATGTAATCCAAATGAGCATCCGCAAAATAAATACGGTCGGTGAAATAGTCAATGGTCAATGCGTTTGGCCAGGCGATGTCGTTTTCCCAAGTCAAAATTCTCGTGAAATTAGATCCATCCATACCGATTTTACCAATATACGCTTGTAAATGCCAGGATGAAAAGTATAGGTATCCTGTTCCTGGATGCAACACTAGAGCTCGCGGATCGGCAATGCCAGTTTTCAAAGTCTTTCTCCAAGTTCCATTTAATTCAGCTACATCCAAGTTCTTAGAATGTCTGTCTAACCAATAAATTTTACGGCCGACCCAGTCAACACCCATTCCTTCCAATCCATGCGAGTCGTGTCTGATAATTGGTTCTTTATCACCGTGTCCATCAATAGATGAACGGAATATAGTTTTTGCAGTTACATCACTGAAATAGAACTTCTGGTCTTGGTAGTCGTAATCAATAGCAACAACGTTCATGAGATCTTGATGCACTAAATTATATTGGTGTGCATCTGCGGACATATTTCTAACGTAGTACTTATTCGTAAAAATAACCCAAGGCTCGGTAGCGTCTTTGCGTTTACAAGTATGCTTATCAATCTGTCTTTCATAATATTCTTCATTGCATTTACAATAGTATCCACCAGGAGTATTTGAACAGTGCTGGGAGCACACCTCTGGAGTTTCGACGCATTCGTTAATATCTGCACAAGCCTTTCCGTCAGGTAATAATCTAAAAATATGAATATTAAGTATCTCAAGTGTTCAAATTTAAAAAGTTACTTACTTGTATCCTTGGTTACATTCGCAATAGAAACCTGTTGGTGTATCCACGCACTTATGTCCGCACTGATGGAGTTCAACTTTAGCGCATTCATCTACATTGCAATGTAGCGGTTCATCTGATTCATCTGTACAGTCTGCCACTTTATTACAAACTAATTGGTAGTCAATACATTGACCGTTGTTACATGTGAATTGACCGGGGGTAATACATGTGCTGTTTTCTTTTTCTAAACATTTAAATAAACATTACATTTACAACAAATTCCGTCAATGAGAACAAAATACTTACTGCAACCAACTTCATCAGAATGATCACCGCAATCGTCTTCTCCATCACACCTATACTGGTTTCTGATACATTTGAAGTTCTGACAAGTAAATTCGTTAGTTGAACAAGTTTTATATTTAGAGGCGCACTCTTTGCCTTCATCAGTACCATCACCGCAATCATTGTCATGATCACATAACCAGCCCTAGATTAAAATTAAAATTAATCATGATATTCAATTTATCAATGCATCATATATTACCTTATTAATACATCTTCCATTGGCACAAGTAAACTGATCTTCGGAACAATTTACAGGTTTGGCGCAATTATGTAAAGTTGTATTCTCGTCAGCTCCATCGACGCAGTCTGGATCACCGTCGCACAACCATTTCCTTGGTATACATTGAGATCTTCCCCAAGCTTTATTGGCTTCACAAGTGAACTCGTTTTCATCGTCACATCTTCTGTCATCTTAATTAAGAATAATTGTGCATAAAAGATGAGCTTAATACTATATATATCTTATACTCACTGCATTGATGTCTAACATCTTCGTCACTGTTGTCTAAGCAATCGTTATCGCCGTCACAAATATATATTCTCGGTACACAATTTCCGTTATCACATGTGAATAGATCCCCAAAGCAAGTACGGCCTTCGCTCTTGCAGTACTCTGGTGGTTCATCAGCTCCATCGCCGCAATCATCGTCACCATCGCAATACCTATATTGAATAACATTATTGAAACATGAAATTGAATAAAAAGATATATTACGTACCAGGTCGCTGGAATACACCTATGATTGGGACATCTAAAACTGTTTTGTGGACAAGTTCTCTGAGCACAATGTAAAAGATTTTCATCGGAATTATCACCACAATCATTATCACCATCGCAAAGCCAATAGGGTTCGACGCATATATTCGTATTATCGCACTTCAAGTGATTTATCGGACACGTTGTATTATTTGGACATCTCTCGTGAGTTTCGTCCGATGTAACATTATCTTTGCAATCGTTAACACCGTTACAAACCTAGAAAAACATAAAATTATATAATTAAAATATTCCCATAGTTTTTTTTTGCATTTATATGAATTACTTGTGCCATAGGAATACATCTATGATTTGCGCAAGTGAACTCTCCATCCGCACATGGAGGATATTCGCATTCTTTTTCATCGGAACCATCCTTGCAGTCGTTCTCGTGATCGCATTTCCATGATTTGAATATACAACGACCGTTTTCGCACCTAAATTCGTTTGGAGAACATGAATGGAATGCTGAAAAGTATAAAAAGTTGTTATTGCAATACATATACTACGTAAAATAGTAAGTTGCTTACAGCAGTAATTGGTATCTTCGTCGCTGTTATCGCCACAGTCATCTTCACCGTCACATGACCACATTCTTGAGATGCATTTACCGTTAGCGCAATAAAATTTGGTCGAATCACAAGTGAAGTTCTTAGGCACGCACATCCTTCCTTCGTTCACCAATTTTGTGTTATCATCACATTTACACTCTGCCGTACCGTTTGGTCCTGGATGACAACTTTGAGCGCATCCACCATTATTGATGCGGCATGGATTAATGGTACATCTTTGTCTATCCGGTGAGAATATGTGAATATCTCTTGGACTGTCCTCAAGACGCTTAACCATTTCCATCATATTAGCTCCAGTATGTTTCTCGGCGCGATAAACTCCCCGTAATTGCAAATCCGTCCAATAAATGTATTTTCCAAAAACTGTGATCGAAAATGGATAAATTGTTGCAGACACAAGAATCTCTCTATTCTGACCATTCAAATCAGCTCTTTCAATCTTTTCACGAACAGCGTCCGTCCAATACAACATTTGATCTTCATAGTCAATCGCTAAACCAGACGGTTGTGCTAAATTCTTATCTACGATAACTTTCTTCAAGGAGCCAGCCATGGTAGTTCTTAAAATTTTTCCAGAAGTTCCGAATTTTCCCCAATCGGTGAAGAAAAGAGTTCCATTGCAGGGATCAATCACAATTGCTCTAGGTCTTTCCACTCTAGCAATCATCACTAAATCGGAACCGTCCAGGTTCATAGCGTAAATGCTATGATTTGAAGAGTCGGTCCAGTAAACCTTTCTTTGAGTCCAGTCATAAGCAATTCCTTCTGGATTTATTCCTTTGTTAATAATATTTGTTATGGCATCGGTTGATGGATTATTCGAGGACATTGAAGCAATTCTAGCCCATGGTCTTATTTGAGTGAAGAGCAGAGTATGATCCATATAGTCAAAATCAATTCCTACTACGTTAGTCAAATTGGAAATTGGTTTGAATGGTAATGAAGTCTGTTTCGGATCCAAATTAATAGCCCTGATCTCAGTTCTTGTTGTAAATACTAAGTATTCATTAACAAACTCACATTTTCTACCATCAGCAGCTAATTTTCCGGTTGCACAATCACATTTATAATTAACTCGGTTTAAGCTTGTCACATCTTGTGGGAAGGAAAAGCACAATTGTTCGCATCCGCCATTTCCTAATCGGACACACGGGTTTGTATCTTCTTGAGGTTGATTACTTATATCGAAAATTGCTATATCCCTTAATTTAGGTAAATTCGTTCGCACCTTAGTTGGTAAAGTGTTGTTGTCAAATAGTTTAGATGCTTTATATACAGTTTGGAGATTCCTGTCCACCCAATAGACATCACCCATATGAACAGCGATACCCATAGGATTAGGCAAATTACGTCTGATTACTTGCCTATTGCCTCCAGTATAAGATATTTTCTGTATGGTATCCAATTTCGAGTCAACCCAGTAGACATCGTGGGTCAACATATCAATGGCTAAATCTCTAGGAATCATAATTCCAGAAGTCACAACAGGTACCCAATTACTACCATCCAGGTTTGCTTTACCAATTCTAGGATACTGACCATAATCGATCCAATATAAAATTCTCTTTGACGGATTCACAGCTAACTCTCTTGGAGAATCTGTTGTTGTCTTAACTAGTACTTTACGATTGCTTCCATCGAGCCAACAAACTTCTAAGTAATTTTCATGTGGAAATACGTTCGTGAAATAAAGATTTCCAGCTACCCAATCAATAGCTAATCCTCGAATGCCATTGCTTCCAATACCTTCCCGAATGATCGGTTGAAGTTCAGAGCCATTTGGTCGGATTCTGAAGATTCCATTCCAAGTACCTCTATTAAATTCTACCCAGTATATCCAGTTTTCAGCATAATGAACGTCGACATGCAAGATATGATGTCCAGTACCAGAAATAGGAACCATAGCTTCGGAACTGTCCTTCAAACTAAATCCTCTGATCATGTCCAACTGTGCCACAACTGGGAATGTTTTGTATGGACTGCAGTTAATTTCGTTTTCTTTTCTGTATCCCACACTGCAGGCGCATACTCTAGTTCTCGCTTCACCGGGTAGGCAGATCTGATCACAACCGCCGTTGTTTTGTAAGCACGGGTGATCAATAAATTGCCTCTTCTTAAATATAGTGAAGGTTTTTAGATCTGGTTCATTTTCTAAGATAACTCTTGGGTTATTTCCTTGAGGCAAATCCACGCGAACTAATGTTTCATAAGATGGATCCAAATAGTATAATCTACTGTCCAAAACACCCAGAGCCTTGGGCCTTGCGATATTATTGTATTCAGAAAGAACATTTCTCCGACCATTTCCATATACATCGATTGCTACTACTAAAGGCGGATATTGAATACTGTAATAGATAATCTTCTTTTCTATGTCGATTACGATGTCATCCGGAGTTTCAATATTATCTACCAAAACAATAGAGTTAGATCCATCCATGTTGACTTTGCCAATTTTCGGGGGAACGCCGTAGCCGCCGGCATCAGCCCAATAAACTTTACCGTCCATTGGGTCCAAACAAATTGATCTTGGATGAGCGACCGAGGTTTTATTTCCGTCATTCGCCAAAATAATAGCTCTATGTTTAACTTTGCCGTCAACACGAATAACTTCCAAATTGCTAGCAATTCGATTTCCAATAAACAAATTCCTGCCAAGCCAATCGAATGCAATGGTCGATGGAGAGCCGACAATTCCGCTATTGATGCCCAAGAATTGCGTTTTATTGCCGCCTCCATATGGAGTTGTATAAATAGTACAGTTTTCGTCGTCGTCGTTTTTCCCTTCCAGCCAGTAAACAGTATCTGATTTTCTATCATAATCGATTTGAATTCCGTTTTCGATTCCAACGATGGCTGTAAGATATCCAGCGGTTTGGTCTCCAGGCGTAAGAGAAACGTCAATGATTTGTGCACCTTTCATCACCATCAAGAACGAACTTTCTTCTTCTGTACATCCTCCTTTGTCTGTTAATCTGAATCCAGCTTTGCATTTGCATGTGTACCCAGATGAAGAACTTGGGGATAATAAGCAGATATGCTGGCAAGGTGCGTTTTGGCAAGAATTTTCTGATATAGGTTGCAACGACGGATGGTGCACGTGGATACTAAGGGGTTGAGAGATTAGATGGGATACAACCGTTTGATTATTTCCTTTGAATTTATGAGCTGACAGTACGCGGTTCAATTGTCGATCAGTCCAATATAACGTGTCTTCGAAGAGAGTTAAGGAGTGCGGATGCAATAAATAATGGCTACCAGCCAAAACCTGCTGCCTTCCTGTACCGTTGTAGTAACAGAAATCGATGAAATCTAGTTTTGAATCGGCGAAATAAATTCTTTGGTTTGCAGTATCCAGAGTTAGTCCGTTTGGCCAATAAATTTTGGTACTTATGACTGTTGATCTGTTGGTTCCATCCATTCCAATACGTTCGATTCTAGGATTTTCACCCCAGTCAGTCCAGAATAACCAACGAGCACTGTAAACATATTTCATAATTTAGATGTGTTTTATTATTATTTTTTAATTAATTACCCTGGGCTAGGATCCAAGCACATTCCTCTTGGCTGTGTTATATTTTCTTTGACCAGTACGATTCTATTAGAACCGTTCTCTCTTGCTACTTCAATTGTGTTCAACTTAGAGTCTAGCCAGTATATATTTCCTGAAACCCAATCATAGGCTAATCCTTCAACCAAATCCAAGCCGGTATTGATAACTTCAACTGGCTCGCTTCCCCTATCTAATCGGGAAATTTTCTTCAATTTCATATCGGACCAAAATATGGTGCCAGTGTGCATGTTTGATGCAGTTGCAACCACATTCTCAACAATGATAGGAACTCTTTCCAAGCCTTGCTCATTCAAATCAGCTACCAATATTGAATGTCGGTTTGAGATTATCAGGAATGCCGCGCTGTGATCTGAAGTAATTTATTGATTAACTATATTTTAATGAAAATTAGAGAATAAACTTACTGTATGCTTTGCAAGAGTGCTTATTTGGTTCTAAAACGTATCCGGGTACGCAACCGCAGAAATATGAACGCTTTGTGTTGGTACAGGTTTGCGAACATAATCCAGGTGGATCGCATTCGTTCAAATCTTCGCAATTTTGGCCATCGCTGGTCAAAACCTCACCCTTCGGGCACATACACAGTGGTCCCTGTAATTTGTACGTTTTGCATCAATTAGTGTTTTGTAATGTGATGTGTGAAATTGAATGCTCGATTTAATGCTTAAGCGAGTATAGACTATTTACATATCATTAATTGAGGAATACTTACGGTCGGTGTTTGTTTACATCCATTTGAGCACAATCCAGCTTGATGTTCGCATTCCGCTAAATCGCAATCCTCCCCTTCGTCAGCTCCATTAGGACAATCCGATTTTCCGTCACAAACGCTGGTTAAGTTAACGCACCTTTCACTAATTCCAGGACATAACCATTGCCCGGTAGGACATTGGAATGGAGGCCGAACGCAAGCGTGTGTATGATCTTCGTCGCTTCCATCACCACAATCATCATTTCCGTCGCAAATGTAAGCCTGTAATATCATATACAACATAAAAACTGTTCAAATAATTTAATGATATGAAATTCAAATGAAATGAATAGATTGAAATATTGTTTTGTTAATTAACAAATGACAAAACGGATTCCACTGATAATATAAAGATATAAGAAATATGTACCTTAAAAACACATTTGGAATTGCTACATTTATAGAAGTTTGTGGGACAGTCGACAACACCGCATGAAGCTGGCTCGTCGGATCGGTCATCGCAATCAGGAGTTCCATCGCAGTGCCAAGATTTGGGAATGCAAATACCAGACGACTGGCATTGGAATTGCTTCTCGCTGTTGCATTGATCCGGCGCTATCGAAGCTGAAAATGATTAAAATAGCAAATGTATTAATAAGGAAAAACATTGCAACATCATAAACTGCACTCACGACAACCCAATTCATCACTACCGTCATTACAATCGGGTATTCCATCGCATTTGTAGCTTTCTTGCACGCATTGCCGCAGATCGGCGCATTTGAATTGACTTGGTAAGCAGGTAATAGGTGGACAATCCTTTTCATCTTGTTTATCGAAACAATCGTCATCTCCGTCGCAGACCCAGCTCTTTAAATAAAATATATTATAAAATGCGTTACGATAAAAAGAAAGTAAAATATGCTAGAGGTATTTTCATTACTTGTGGTATACAGTGACCTGTCTTCGGACAAGTGAATTGGTAGTAAGCACAAGTCTTTTCAGCACACGAATCTCCTTCATCGGAACCGTCGCCGCAGTCGTTTTCAGAATCGCACTTCCAAGTATTCGGAATACACCTGCCATTATCGCACTGGAACTGGGACGAACTGCAAGTCACATTTACACAACCCGTTTCGTCGCTGAAATCTCCGCAATCGTTTTCCGAGTCACATTTGAATGTCATCGGAATGCAACGGCCGGTTTTGCATTGAAATTCATTACTTCCGCAAGTTGGTTCTGTAAAGTATAGAAGATTATATATTCGCCCTATCATATTGGTTATAGTCTAATTTACTTGTGCAGTTTTGTTCTTCGTCACTGTTGTCCAAGCAATCATTGTCTCCGTCGCATACCCAAGACTTCGGAATGCACCTTTGATTATTACATGTGAAATCCCAGCTGTTCGGACACGCTTGCACTGGAGGTTCGTGATTCGGGTCGAGCATGCACGTTTTTTGATCGATGTTCAACCTCTCTCCGTAAGGGCAGCCGCATTGAGCCATCAATCCTTTTGAATCATTCCTCGGCATTGCAAAACACAACTTGTGGCAACCGCCATTGTTAATCCAGCACGGTTGAGTGTCATCCACTCTCTGCTCATTTTGACTGTAAATCTAAATAAAATACAAGTATTACTAATAGAAATAATTATTTGAAGCAAATATTCTTACTTTAACTCCGTATAATCTGTTGGTTTGCGGTTCCCTGACCAAAGTTTCTTCATGCTCTCCAGTTAACTTGTGCAATTTAATTATGGCGTCCAATCTCCAATCGGTAATGTACATGAAATTTTTATAGATAACAACGCTGAATGGATGTCGGATTAATCTCGAGCTAACAGTTTTAACGTCAGTTCCATCAAGTTTGGAATGTTGAACGTGATCTAATAAAGCATCGCACCAGTAGAGCCTATCTTGATCGAAATCAATAGCTAAACCATTGGGCCATCCGAGAGTGACGTTTTTGAAGACTATTAAATTAGATCCATCGCTGTGAGATCTTGAGATGTTCGCTGGTCGGTCCCACTCAGAGAAGAAAATGTATCCTTTGTTAGGATGCACGACTATAGCTCTCGGTCTCTTCAAATTTTTAAGCAAAGTTCTGCGATAAGTTACATTCCTTGTAGACAATACATTTAGAGTTCCTTTTCGGCTATCGATGTAATAGAGATTTTTGGAAACCCAATCGACGGCTAAACCCTCGACACCCTCATTTTGCGAAGCCAAAACAATCTCACGCTGAGTTCCGTTTCTCTGTACACGGTAAATAACGTCTTGTAAAACGTCCGAGTAGTAAATTTGTTGATCGCGTGCGTCAAAGTCCAGTCCGACGAAACGGGCGCGCTTTGATACTACGGGCATCATGGCATCGCTGAACCCTTCAATCACGGGATCCAAGACTTTGCCCTTAATGAATCGTTGCTGAGAGTACATCAAAAATTCGGTGACTAAATTGCAATTTCTTTCGTCGGAAGCCAAACGCCAACCAATATTGCAAGCACAGCGGTAACCGAGTCCAGAAGATGTTTTCGTAATAATACACATATGCTGACATCCACCATTAGTATTTCCGCATGGATTGCTGGTCTTTAATTGCGCTAAACTGTGAACAGCTTTGATGGCTTTCGGATCTCTAATGTCACGCATTTTGTAAATCATTTGAATACTTGGACTGCCCTCGTATTTATCGACAGACATTACCCCTTGTTTTGTGCCATCAGTCCAGTAAACTCGGTTTTCGAAGATAGCTAAACGCGACGGGCTTGGTACTGGTTGTCCTCTTACAATTTGGAATCTTCTTTGACCGTCGTAATCAACTGTGTCGATATAGTCCAGCAACGAATCGCACCAGAATATTCTCTTGGCAATAATATCGACTGCAATACCGGAGGCTTTGTAAGCTGCTTCGGATACGATAGCAACAGCATTTGTGCCATCCATATTCGCTCTAAGTACTTGGGAACTATCTGCGACAAACAGGTAGCCGTACAAAGGATCTAAACCTATGTCCACTGGACTTGTAAGATTTGATCCCAAAACTACGGCATGCCAACGTCCGTCCAATTCGAGCACATCGACTTTTTGGCCGACGGAATCGGCCACGTATAACTTATTCCCGATCCAATCGACAGCGATGGCAGCTGGTAAAGATGTGCCGGGTAGGGTAATTTCGTAGACATCATTGAGATTAATCAATCCCGTAGCGGAAGACTTCATCGGCTGCCTGTAGACCTAAATCAGAAGAGGTTAATAGCATCGCGCTAGGAATGGAATGAGATCAATGGGTTACCTTCTTGGTTTTGACGTCCGACCAAAATAGCAAATTCTTCTCGTAGTGGAAATCTAAGCCACTGGCACCCGTCGTGTTGGCAAAGATCTTCATATCTTCACCCCTCGAATTCAGCCTATAAATAGATTTATCGTGTGCGAAAAAGAGCTGCAGTTCGTTAGCATTTAATGCGGCGCATTTATTTTTGTCCTGTTTCATGTAACCAGCGGCACATCCACAGTTGTAACCGCCGTCCGTGTTCGTACAGAATTGATCACAGAATCCCCATTCGTTGCACTCGTTCCTATCCACGCAGGTTTTATTGTCCGCCGCTAATTTCCTTCCTTCCTGGCAGAAGCAGGCGCCACCGGTCAAAGAAGCCTGGCATTTGTATTCACAGCCTAGCGCTGGACAAGACAATTTCGCTATGAGGGAAAACAGACAAATTTCGTTAAAATGAAATTGACAAAATGAAGAATAAAAATAAACTGGAATTGGTACTCACAGCAAGCGGTCTCTTCGTCAGCCCCATCCTCGCAGTCCCGTTTTCCATCGCACAATTGGCTCTTGGCAATGCATTTGGGCTTCCCTTCGGAGCCCCCTCTTGGGCACAAGAATTTATTATCTGGACACGGAATCGCAGTGCAATTCACTTCGTCTGAACCATCGGAACAATCGCGGTAACCGTCGCAATGAAAACCACCAGGTATACACAAAGCATTTGCACATCTAAATTGCCCTCCGTGACACAATGGGAAATCTAATTAAAAAAATAAAAAATATACTGTTATAATTATGTTTCCTAACTTGTTGATATTTTTCGGTCCATCAAACGTATCAGAGTAACGTATCAAAGTATGAAGAGATGTCGACTGTGTAATGTAATGTCTTGTGTAATTTTACATAATATATTTTTCTAACAATTTTGCAATGAATTTGGGATATATTTGAAAGTCCGGTGCATATTAATGTCTTTTGGGTTCTATTTTCCCTTTCATTTTGGTTATTCGCATATATATAGTAATTCACGTTCATAGAAACCTACATTTTATTGTTAATGATTACATATGTTCGCATACGATTTATTTAATAATATATATAAATAATTACATATTAAAAGTCATATATAGTCTAGTAGTATTTTGCATTTTACACCAATTGATTTTTAGTATACATTAAATTGAATGCAACTAAAACCACAATGTTTGTAGTTACGACATGCAATTAAAGATTACCGCAAGTAATGTTTGCAATTCGGTAATGCAAAGAGCACTGGCACTGGCTATAATACTCGAACTATCGGGATATAGTAATTTAAAGTTTAACAAATTAATGTTTGTTATTCAAATGAAGAAATACTATTTTTACTACTTATATTTGCAATTTTATGATAAAACATTTATGATTGATTTGCGTGTATATTAATATTTAACGGACTGTTTGGTAACACAAAGATCTATTGTTGTGCAGACATTTTAATAAAATATCATAGTAAATTGGCTAGTATTCATTTGCAGAACGCTCGTAGCAAAACATAACTTTGAATTGTTGCCAATATACTGAGAGAGCATGGAAAAAATTAATTAAGAAAAAGATCTCCGCGCTGGAATTATCCCAAACTTTTTCAGCTTATATCATACTTTCTCCGTTTTCCATTTCTCTTCTATCTCCTTTATTTGCGCTTCTCTTATATATTTTTTTCTCTCTCATATTATTTCTGCTTACTCCCGTTTTTATACGCGCCGTGCGGATGAATGGTTATATGTAAATCCAACGAAATAAAGTTCCTCCAGCTAACAAAGCTAGACCACGAGGGAGTTGTACACACAAATCATAAACTTACTGCATCCGAGCTCGTCGGAATTGTCAGAACAATCCATGTTGTGGTCGCATTTTTGATTGGATTCGATGCATTTTTGACCATTTGCACATCTGAATTGATCCAATCTACAGGCGACACCGTTGCATCCCTGCTCGTCCTTGCCGGATCTACAGTCCACGTAACCATCGCACCGTTTCTCCTTAGGAATGCAGGGGTTCGATTGGCTTCCGGAACCGGAACCGACACCACAGTGGAAATCGTCCGACTGGCATTTCCTGTAAGCTGTAAACACAGTGGACATAATCTTAAGAGTGCATAATTTCAAGCTTTAATCAATTAAAATCAGAGAAAAATGAAGAGTCGTGTAATCATCAGGTGGCCGTGTCCACAATTATTTAAATTCAATTTGCAATTATATTGTAGGCAATTGGGTGTTGTTACTTACTGCATTCCGTTTCATCTGAACCATCTATGCAATCCACTGTCATGTCGCAACGGTAATGGGGTGGAATACAATATGTTTTGTTCCATATGTACTGTCTGCACGTTAATTGACCAGGCTCGCAGTCGGGGGCCGCTGAAAAACAAAAAGAAACACGAATGAAATTAGAAACGTTAATTCGCAATACGGGATTAATAACAATCAATTAGGTTTTACATAATCCTGTTTCAATGTGCAAAGCTTTCAAAGTATAATTTACAGGATTTTATAATGCCTAAAAAAATATATATCGAAATTAATATTTACTACATGTTCAAGTTTGACAACTTACATTATATGTACATTTTATTTTTTGATTGTGTACGTTATTACTAAGTATAAATCCATTTGGATTCAGTTTCATAATATTGATGTCATTTTTAACTTTTAAATATTTTCAATATTTCCATATAAACATAGCTATACTATAGCATTATTTCATAGTGTTAACCAAAGATATTATTAACAAATATTTGAATGAATTAATATGATTTATTACGTGTGATAAGATAATAATCGAATGTTCCTTTATAACACTAATATAAAACTTTTAGGCTACAATTAAGATTAATATAATGAAAAAAAAAATGCATATATGAAATCTCTGGTTTTATTCTTTTTATTAAAGTACATAAAACCAAATCGAAAACGTTCGGTAAGTGCAAACAATTTCGCCGCTTTAGGTGAAGAAAATATGATCAATAACTTTATACCTGACATTGTTTATTTTGCTCACACAGTAAAATAAAAATAACACTTTATTGGATGTTATATATGTATTTTGTTCACAATGTACGTGTCCGGTTACGTGGCACGAAAATTTAATTTAACTTTACTACTTTTCACAAAATGAAATTGCTAAACTTATAGAACGCAAAATGAAATAATCATAGCTGTGTATATTACTTTCATTATGAATCTTGTTTTAACAGTTGCAATACAACAAACATGATTTTTTATTTTAATTTTAATCTCTCGGCGAAAGGCCTACAGTTTATAGTTGTAGGATTCATATATTCTTTTTATTTTTTCTTGGTAATTGTTTTTGTAATATGCCATTGTTGCAATACATTATTATTTTATATATAGAAACACACACCTCAAATTACAATAACATAGTTTGATTTTATGTTTAATTTATAATATAACAAATAAACATGATATATACCTATGACTATAAAGGGTAGTGAAAAGATAATAATGGTAAAAATAGTTCTATGCTTTTTTCTTTATTCATTTTTTTGTCCAACACATTTAAAAATATATAAAGCTTACATACGTCGGTATGGATACTTTTATGCAAAAGCACTATATTATGCTCTATATGTGAACAGAGCCAGAGTTATATGGAAATGATAGCCAATATAGTAGTACATATTGTTCTAATAGCCAGAGGCAAGTGCAAAACGGTGAATCGGACGTTATGTTAGGAATTTCTATAGGGTTTCACTGGAAGACGTTCATTTTAACGATAACGTTTCGATGGAAATATCCGAGCTTAATGATGTAATTCGGCACGAAATAGCGCTAAATTAAAATTAGCTTTTTATGATCAGGAATTGAAATCGAAAGCAGGTGTAAAATGCTAATCTTACAAAATGTTAACTAACATAAATATAGATTTAGAATTATATTTTTCATGTTATGAAATCAATATTTTGGTATAATTATTTTTTTAATAATAATACATATTTCATAAATAATTGCACCGATTAAAGTAAGTCTATTAGTATTATTTTGATCAACATTAATGGCAGGTGGTCAACAGCTGTACTTGGCATTACGTTCTTTTCATTGTGTGGTATTAAAATTGAGGATGCGACATATTGTGAGCTCAGTCGTTAAATAAGTTTAGTTTACTATTTTATTAATTACTTGTTTTTAAATATAAACATAAATGAACGGCGGTAATAAAGTTAGAACCTTTTATACTTTAATATACGGCGATGGACATGAAATCCAAGCCGTTATTATTGGATATGGATAATATTTTTTTTATTGAGGTGAGCAATAGGGGTAGATCAATTTCAGAGGTTGTGTCGATTGTATTAAAATCGGATTTTACGATATGGCAAAAATTCGTGTGAGTGGCAAAATAATCCATCTACATGCTCTTCGTGAAAAGAGAGCAAGTAAAAATATTGCCAATTGCAATAGACTTTGTGCATGGCATTAAATAAATACGAATAACACTTACGAGGACAGCCAGTGTGTATCTTGCACTCTCTCTCTCTCGCAAGGGAAAACTTTTCCTTTTGGGAATGGACAGAAAAGAATGGAACAAGAAGAGAGTACAGATGGAGGATGAGAAGTGTAGAGCAAATATTTACAGAGTGTCCGTAATATATGGGAGTGCATTGTAAAATATCAATTTCGGGACGAAAACCATAAAACTGGATTCGTCGGCCGTTACTTCCGTTACACATTTATATTTATCTGCAAACACACTCAAATTTTCGGTAACGTATTTACCAAGATCCAGACAAAAAAGGACCCGCAATGGAGAATAAAAAGGTTACAAACATATTTCCGTGGCCCGTCAGCCGTAAAGTATGTTTTAAAGCAAACGTATGTATTTCCATAACCAGAAAACCGTGTAAATATTGATGTACTGCTTTTTTTTTTCATTTCGATGTAGTAAATAAGAGTAATATTTTTTTTTGTTAGATATACTTACGGCATGATTGAAATTCATCCTCGCCCTTCTCGCAGTCCTTCTGGTAATTGCAAACCCACAGCGACGGAATGCATTTCCCCTCGGGACACCTGAACATACCGGGAGGACATACTGCACCTCCAGGATCACCTGTAAATTAAATTAATACATTTAATATATCATTCAAAATAATTCCCATATTGAATTAAACATTGAAAAACCTTGCTGTTTAAATTATCAAGTATACTTATGTACATATACAACAAACTAATTTAAAAAAATTTCATATCTTTATTACTGAAAATTACAACATTGCTCTTTGAAAATAAACCTTTTTTGCGTTATTAATTCAGACAATGATTGCTGTATGGGTTCAACGCGATAAATATACGATATAAATAATTGTATAGTTTCTGTGCATAATTTGAATAGTTTATTCGATTGTATCAATTTGTTTATAATCAAAGCAAATAATATATTTTATTAAATGTTATAACTGTATGCTCATTAATTATAATTAGTATAATATGTGGCACAATGAATTTAATAATTCCCTTGATATAATTAAATACAAACAGTTTTGGTTAAATCGAACAGCTAATATTTACTAGTTTACATGTAATTGTTTAATGACTCATCAAATATAATATTATGATTTAATTGTAAGTAATAAAAAGAAGGTTAATATTTTTTCAGTAATTCGAACATATTTTAATATTTAGTATGTATGTTTATTTAATTTCTATAGACTATGTTTACACAATATTACTACGAGTATTTCAATATAGAATAACAATTAAAAAAGAAGTTATTAATTGATAATATTTGTAAATGTTCATGTTCAAGCAGTTATGATAATATAATAGTTAATATAAAAAAGAAAACAAAGGTTACGTTTGAGTTAAAATTATTGATATCATTGAAATTTTATGTTATATTGAATTTCAATTAAATTTTTAATATATCAAAATATGTCAATTACTTTTATAATTAATTGTATTTCATAAATTTGGCATGAAATATGATAAATAGTTAAATCAAAATGCATGTTGTAGTCAAATGCATCCTATTATAAAAGGTACTTTGAGTTCGATTTAACAGTAAGATAAAACATCAATACAGAGGCTAAACCCGAACGCTGCAGTTATGCATGTGAGCTTTGTTTACGCAATGAATTATTTGTGAATGTGTTTCAACGGACAATGGACTGTTTTCTAAAGAGATTCGTTGAATGAATTATTTCCCATTACTGGAGGACAGAATGAATCCGCGGATAAATCACGCACCCAAATAAAGCTGGGGCTTTTAACCCACAAAAGCGATAAGCGAAAATGATTATCACTTCGCAAATATGCCTGAAACCCTCCGTCCCCCTTAGGAATATTTGGAAAGGAAAATATACATAAACTAAACACTGATAAGGTGTTGAACGTAATTAATTGGTAAAAGGTTGATTGATAGTGCAGGGTGGAGGGTGCTGTTGTCGTACTTTATTTTCGATGTTGCGGTACCAATTTATGTTATTCGGGTTGTTCCATTAATTTATAAGCTGTCATCTGAGGACGCCGCACCGCATGCTGCCACAAAACTGTTTCGAAATATATTGAGGATATTTATTGATTTCCTTATTCCGCTCCGCATTTTGCATATGGGACCTGTACGAAAACTTTGCAAGAATCCCATAAGAACGAAGCAGAATCTGTTTTTCACGTTAATTGAACGCGAGACAAATATTTGCATGTGTTTTTACTCAGCTGAGCGCAGGCGACGCGAATGATTGAATTACAGAGAAAATATGAGTAAGGATTAAAAAAAGGAAATCACGAATAACATATTTTCACGCTAATTAACGTTCCGGTGTAATTGCATGAGTGATGGAGCGCGAATGTAATCTCGTTTTATTTTATTTCATCATTTCAGTCCGACTGCATTAAAAGCACAAAATACAAACGATTTATTAATTTAATTAGCATGCATACGTTGAATGCAAATGAAATGCATGTACCGACATAATAAAGACGTGCCCTTCATTTACTACCTTTTTTTCTATTCGCACGAAAACCAGACATTTTCTCTATTCCTGCAAATTCCAGACATTCCCCGAAATAAATGTACTGCATTTGCTTGCTACAAACTGGAGACCGTAATTGTAGCAATATTCTTTATTGTTTTTGGTAATGTTATGGATCGTATGCATTTACTGCTATTCAGGTTATTTTCTCGCAAAACTGATACGAAACTAGCAGTGCTCACTAAAGTAGAGACCATGGAAAGTTGGAAGGAAAGAGTGGCGACGGAAAGTAGTATATGCGAGTGTAAAAACCGACAAAGTTTTCAGATTCTTTGGTGCTTGCGCCATCTGAATAATCCAGTCGTTTTCTGGAACATAGCCTTATACATTCACACTCCGCTATCGCTTGTCTCAATATCAGTGGCAATAGTATTAATAATAAAGTATATCTCTATTTGCTACAACCAAAATTGTAAGTTATGGAAAACCGGAAAAGTCATAAAATCAAAGCGCTTTAGCATATTCTAGTGATTTACAAATATCGAAAGTTTACAAACAATAACCTTGTGTATTCAAAACCCAAGGCAATAATATATTTAAATAGAATTTAAGAGCTGAACTTCAAATTACATAAATTACAGACAAAATAATTGATACATTTTAATAATGGCTCCATTAATAACAATAATACAAAGTGCAGTTAAAAAAATGTATTAAAACTAAACTGAAAGATTTACAGCAAAAAGGACGAGCATTTAAATGTGTATTCTTTCCTCGTCGCGTTTCCCAATTGACTGATGAAATAGTTGGCGGTCAATATTTCACCAGCAATTTACACGGAGGCTTTAAATTAGTTTTAAGGCAATAAATTATTCCGGGTATTTGCCGGAGAATAAATTACTTTACCTGTAAATACATAGTGCTCGTATATACAGCTATACACACACAAAGTCACATATATTCGTACAATCTGGCTCTCAGTTTGTCTTTGGACCCCAGAAAATCGGTTGCGGTTTCAGGGTATAAATTACAATAAATTGGTCGAAATGGGCAAAGAAAGTAACCAGAAATAGAGACAGGCGAGAACATATTATTTCGTTGCATTTGAAAATAATTGCAAGCTGCGGTCTCGAAAATGTACGAACGCTGCTCCTCCAACTTGGAGGCGGTTAAGGTGGTCTTGGAGGTTAATCTATGTGTAGTGACTTCATTTGCCTCACTAAATTGCACGCAATTATATACTCCTTGGTATAACGAAGCTTCCCATTCAGAAAATACCTACTCGTACAAATATATAGTCACACACATTAAATGCATTAAGTGCTTAGACTGAGAATGTTCAAGTTACATGATAACGTATCTCCATTTTCAGTTAACTATATTACATATATCGTTCGTTTCTAACTGCAACAATATATGCGAGTCAGATGAATGTTGTATATAGTTTTGGAATCTAAAATTATACCAAATTTCCATTCGACAATAAGAATTAATTCGCTATAATATAGTCAATCTAAAGACATATTGCTTACACCTTGAATGTTATAAATGTTACAAGTTTTTTATTAATTAAGTAAATTTAAATTAATTTGCCAATTACTACTAATTACTCGAATTCGAGTGAATTCGAATGAATATTTATTTATGATTATTGTAGTTTACAAATAACTAAATTAATTCTTAAAAACTTTATTTTTTTCATTAACTATACTAAAATTTGTATTTTTGTATATACACAATAAATTTTAACATTGTATTGTATTTAACATTTTCAAAGTACGTAATTTCCCTATGAACGTACAATTCTGAATTGGTGACCCTTCGCAGCGTTTTCAATTGAAATAGCTGTTTTGTTTTGTCCCATAAAATAGAAATTAACGACTGCTATTTAGAGCGACATTCGGAATATTACAATCATTTGTTCTCAATATGGTATAAAAAGTATTGGTAATTTTTTTATATATATTCTAAATTTATTAATTAAAAGTATCTCGGATAAGCGAGAAAGCTCAATCAACCGTGAATACTGAACAAACGAAACGAAAATTAATAAAAGAGATTAAAAATAATAAAATGGCCGCGAGGCTGATGGATGAAGTATTTTAATTAATTCAATTTTATGGCACGAACTTTTTTTTTGTAAGTATAATAAAACGTACAGGTAACTATCGCTTTGATTTTTCTACCTTCCAGCTCAAACATTTTTTCTTTTTAATAATTTTTAAAAACAATAATAAAATTAAAAAAGAAAGAGACAACATGTTTTATTACAATAGTTTTAAATTTAAAGCTTGGTTTATAACTAAAAAATGTTTTTAAAGTATTTAATTCCAATTTTTTCTATGTAATAAATAATATACTTATTAAAAAAGTCAATAATAGTTACAAATTTAACATTAAGTTGATGGCTAAATTTCAATATTAAATTATATCAGATTGAGCTATTCAGAGCTAATTCATAAGATAGTAGATTGAAAATAATCAAAGATAATACAATATTTTGCATAACGGTTTATGCATTTTTGAAAATAAGATATCATTTTACCGTTTAACAAATTAATGATTGGATACATAAGTAGTTATTACAATTTGTATAATAAATAGTATATATGATATTTGATATTATGTAGACCAGTGATTTTCAAAGTGTGGGTCGCGAAAAATACTTGGGAATAACAGAAAACTTGATGTCAGACGGATTTTCTACGTTTTTCTACACATACTCATTCTTCGGGGGGTCCTTTAAATTTTTAAGTGCAAAAGGGAACGCGGATTAAAAAATTTGAAAACCACTGGTGTAGTCAATAAAATTAAAAAAATACGTATGTGAATATTCTAGGAATTAGGACGGATGATATTTTCTCCATAGCAAATGCCTAGAATCTGTAATTGATTCAAATCAGGATAGGAAATATTGCGTATAATGAATAATGCAGCTAAATGGATTCATTAATTTGATTGCCAGGGTCAGTGACCAGCGCAGGAAATGGTTGGTGTTCGAGTGTGTCGGCCCCGATTGCTCTAAATCAGCCCTCTCCTGTGATCTTAAAGTAGGTTAAATTACACAGTGCTGGATTCTTTACATGTAAGCAGCACTTGCCTCGCATCGATTTCCACGTCAAATCTTTATTAAATGCCC